ATTTAATTCGACTGAGAATCCTGTAGAACATGTACAATATTATACCTATACTCTCATCTTACAGATGAGGAAAACATGATGCCCAGTGATAAGTGAACTGGCACTCAAATCTCCCACCTAAATAAATGACTCTGGTGAGATTTGAGCCAGGCAGTCTAATGACAAAGTCTGTTCTATTGCTGACATTTCTACTGTCCCAGAGCTTACTTTTGAAATGACTCTATAATTTCTCCAAATGGAAACATGTCAACAGTATTTTTGGTGGTCTATTTTCATGGACTTACTGAGATTTTATGATTTTAACATAAGTTCACCTTCATCTTTGAGCCAATAATTCAGCTCTTTTAGGCCATGTCAAATAAAATGCCATATTTCATTGACCAATATTTTTCCTGGGACCCAAGAAATAAGACATATTGAAAACAATATCAACTTAGTATCTATTATGTGGTTTCCTAATACAATGGTTCCCTAGGATATTTTAGATCCTTTTCTGATAAAGATGATGAGTTGATGCTGATCTGCCATCATTTTCCTGACCAGCTATTTTGTAATTAAAAAGACATGCTCTTTTGAGTTGGAAGGCTAATGTCAGGAATTCAGTGTGGATGTGGGATCATGCATAGTCCAATCAGTTCTTCCCAATGAGGCAACAAGCTATAGATTCATTAAGATCAGCTGTGCTTAGAAGCTAAATCTCACATTCTCAGTGAAGCATTTCCAAAACCATTTTAACCAACTATATGACTAATGAAAGTCACATCTGAAACAGAAAAGAGAAATTGCTCCATGGGGACAGACACTCTCTAAATGTAAGAAAAGGTGACATTGGAACAATTAAAATGTATGTTGGAGTTGATTTGCTTCTAGCTGAAAGCAACTGGCAAATAGCTAATTTTATCACCTTCACATGTATTTATCAAAGATATTTTGGAAATACTTCAAAACCAGATTAAGATTTAAGTAGTAAAAGTAAGTCAAAAGAGAATACAATAAGTGGAGGCAAGAATTTGAATTATTTTTAACAAAAATAATATCTGACAGTTGGAGTTCCTTATGGGAGTTTTTATTTGGCTTTATCAAGCTTTGAGGTTTAGCACAAGTTTAAAGAACTGGGCACAAAAGAAAAAAATGTGGATGAGAGTTTATAATAGTCATCCTGGCATTCCTAAAGTCTATAGGAAACCCAAAACTGAGCATCAGAATGGTGGGAAAAGAGAGCTGTGGTGGGAATGGGGGTGGGCAACAGAAAGCCCTTGATGGTATGGCCACGGAAGAGCAGCAGAGGTGTCTTGGCATGCACAGGTGAGGGTGTTCACTTTTTCTTCATTCTCAATTCAAAGTTCAGACTTTTTGAGATTAAGAAAGTATGTGGGTTTATTATCTATCTAACGGTTGATATTTAGTCACTGAAAATTATTCACTCACTGATTCGTGTATTTAGTGAATATTTACTGAGTACTTACACTGTGCTAGGAATACATTTGTGAGCCAAAGCAGAGAAGCCGTAACCCTCATGTATCTTGAAAAGCAGTGAAGACAATGAACAAACTGTGGCACAACTAGGTGTATGGAAACACACTGTGAAGAAGAAGTACAACTGATGGGTGGCCATTTGTAATTGGGAGACAAGGACTGAACTGGAGGCCCCACAGTAAACACCCAGAACATATAAGGTTGGACCTCAGATCTGGGCTGGACTTAACCAAGTGAAGTGATGCATTGGAGAAGGTTCTACGCAGGGGCATCCACATGAACAAATGCCCTAAGTCAAGAAGGAGACCCGTAGGCTCACGGATCTGAAAGTCAGCCAGTGAGGAGTGAGGATGGGGTATGGATGACATGGTTGTCACGTAGTGGACACATAAAGTATAAGCTTGGGACAACCTCAAGAGACTAGGATATTGGTATTAATAGGTTATGTATGACCTGATTTGAGTTTAGTCATAGCTCTGGCTGCTGTTTGGACAACAAGCAAGATGGGGGAGGCTGGGACAGGAGAGGAGATAAAGGGGCTGGTTAGGAGGCTATTGCTATGGAATTATGGGAGCTTTGACTTGAGAGAGAGCATGAAAAGAAGTAGATGAGTTTTGGAGCTACTAACAAGCCAATATCCACAGTACTAGGTAATGGGAAGAAGACAGGGGATGGAAGAAAAAAAAGATGACTACACCATTCACTGTAAGAGGACAGTCTTGGGCATGTATGATGGTCTGATATTTGTAAATCTGAACCTAAAATACCATCCTTTGTAGGATTATTGCTTTCTGATACATTTTGACCATTCTAAAAGAATATGGTAAGAAAGTGTTTAACATTATTTTATATGGTCTTCGCATGCCTATGTTTTAAAATTAAAACTGTTTATTCTTTTAACCTATTTTAATGTTTTTAAAAAATATAATAGTCATTAATGTACTATGATATACATTTATTTACTCCTAAAACTTTTCTAGGTATATTTTTAAAACCATTCTTTCATCTTTCTTGTAAGTTAATTATTTTCTCAAGTCTTTATTCTTCCTATGGGCAATGGATGTCTTATAGAGCAGAGTCCCTTGTACATATAGAAACATATAGATCCCTTATAGATACAGAAATATACAGATGCCTGTTCTGCCTATTGCTCTTTATTTAAGGGTATTTATTAACACCGTTTACACTGAATAAAGATGAGGTTCCAATCAGCAATTTAAAATTCAAAGGACATCACCAATTTCCACAATGGGTGTCCTCTTTGTAATGGAAAATAAAGGGTAGCATAGGACTACTGCATACATGGATTTTACAGGCAAATTTTGCAACCAGCAGAGTGTCTATAATTTTAAAGTTTGCATATGCAAAATCCAATGACATTTTGAGGATAACTTGTTTTGCAATGTCACTTCATCCCTCAAGCATTTACTGAGTCCCAACTGTGTACACCACCATTCAATTTCTTTCAGGGAATAAAAAAACCACTAGTTTCTACATGTGAAAAGCTCTGATTTAATAACAAGATGACACAAATTTAACACATCACATCTTCCTCTCTTCCTTTAAAAGCCAAACAAAAGCTGAAAAATGAAAACCAATCAATATTCATTTCTTCAGCACAGCTGATTTCGGATGACTGCGACTACCACTTGCTTCTCCTCCAACTGGGCAGCGCCTCCCCTTAGACCCACTGGCAGCACCTGACAATATCCCTTGTTTATTCCAGTAGTAACTTCCTTAGTACTGGTTGATTGATTCTTTTATTCATTTATTCAACAAATAGTATTGAGGGTCTGTCATGTGTTAGGCTCTGTTCTGGGGTTGGATATATAATTTCCATCTTCTTTGTGAACAAGGTCATTACTTTCATAAAGGTGCTTTGACCTCAGTTATCAGTAATGATTCTTTCTGGAATATTCTATTCTAAGTTCATGCCTGTCACAGGAGCACCCAGGAAAAGGGCTTCAACTCCATTTCTCTGTTTACCTTCTGGCTATTCTCACCTCACTGGTTCTCTACTAAATAACCAAATGTTCCCATGAAAGCTTTTTCCCACTCAATACCTTAAAGTTTATAATTTCACATTGACGTCAGATACATGTGGCCTTAGAAAGGACACTAAATATTTTTCCACCATAATTTTCAAGATTGCAAAATGAAGATAGAAATAATACTAACTTTACAGGGTTGCTGGGAGAATAAAAACAAATGCTATGTTCTGCAATGTTTATTGTATTTCCCATGAAAGACATCACTGCTAACAAAGAATAAGCAAGTTTTCTCCACCTCCACCCTACGTTGGCTGGAGTCCAAGAGGTAAACATTGAATTAAAACACTAAGAAGAATTATAATAACTGACATTTCTTGAGCTCTTCTTCCCTATTAGGAACTGGTCAAAGCACTTCGTATGTCATCTCATTTAATCTCCACAAGGACATGGTGGAACCTATCCTATCCCCTTTTACAAATGAGGAAAAATAAGGGCACAGAGAGTTGAAATAACTTGCCAGGGTTAGGAGTCAGAACTGAAACTGTTATCCAGTGTACTGCTTAGGTGATTTAGCTGAATTTGTACCCTGCCCTAATCTTTTTTGCCTTTGAAGACAGAATACCTGAAGGCCAGAGTGTCCTTTTCAGGTAGGCTAGCCAAAACCAGTTGGATCCAAAATGGTTGCCAGAGTGACCATCAGACAATCTCTGACTTCATTATAATCTAATTTCCCTAGTAAGGAACACACTTACCAGCCACCATGACAGGAAGTACCAGACCATAAAAGAGGTTAAAAGGGGTAGTGGCTGAGATAAGGGGGAATTTCTGCCTATTCCAAAAAAAGTCATAAATATTACTCCCCTTATTATCCTATCTCTCTCCCTCATTTCTTTTACCCTATATCTATGACTTTCCCACCCCCAACAGATCAATAAGTTGATTTGTGAGTCTAGAGTTTTGCTTCTCCATTCTCTGGTCATTGAATGAGCTCAAGCTGTTGGAGCTCAGTCTTGATTCTGTCTTTGTCTTCAAAACACCAAACAGAAAAAGATCCCATTTCCAAGGGGAAGAAGCCAGCAAACAGTTGGTAAAAAAAAACTTAGGAAGCTTGAACAAAGGTCATGCTGCAAATCCTTTTACTACTATACAGTTTCACTCCTTTACAACCTTGTGATGTTATGGGAATAAAAATCAGACAGGTGACAATTGACAATAATGAGTAATACATCATGTGATAGTTATTAAGTGACTAAGGTTTGCATTTTTGTAGAAATTCTCTTATGAGTTACACTCCGTACTTTAAACTTAAAAATTGATTGTGTCTGGGTAATTTAACTAATTCTTTCTTCTCTCTCTCTCCCTCTCTCTCTCTCTCTCTCTCTCTCTCTCTCTCTTTCTCAGTATCTCACCATGTTGGCCAAGTTGGTCTCAAACCCTCAGACTCAAGAGATCTTCCTACCTTAGCCTCCCACAGAACTGATTCATAACATATCAGTGTAGTCAAGAACGTTAGTGTTTTTCAAGATGACTTACCTGAACTTAATGCATGTTCCACTTCCTGCATGATGAGGAGGGGGGTGGTGGTCTCAGATTCACAGATCACTTTGCCTGACTCGGTGTCTTGGGGTGCTTTCTCCTCGGGCACTGGCTGAACTGTGGTATGGGAAGTGGGTGTGTGACCAGAGCTGTGCTCCTCTGTTGGGGACTCAGGTGCAGTTGGAGCTCCTGTGGGCTGGGTCACAGTGGTGCTGAGGTCAGGGGTGATGGAGGCAGAAGGGACCTCAGGTGGGAAGGTCAGTAGAGATGAGGATGATGAGGCTGGAACTTGAGGGGAGAGGAGCATAGGGGACTGTGATCCTGAAGCTGGCATGCTTGTTTCAGGGCTGCCTGAGCTCTGTTCCTCAGGTGTGGGTGTCAAGTAGATGGAAACACTTGTTGACAAGAGCCCAGGAAGTGAGGGGTCTGTGTGTGTGCCTTCCCAATTTGAAGCAGGGCTGGTGATTGCCTCTCCTCCAGACTCAGTGGAATTGTCCTTGGGAAGCAGAGGTGTTGGGTTTGTAGATGTAACTGAGAGAACTGAGGTGTTGTGAGTGCTGCTGGCAGGGGAGGCAGTAATGGCAGCAGTGCTCTGTGGAGAGCCGGTCCAGGTAGCAGTGGATGAGATAATTTTTTCAGGAAGAGAAACAGGCAAGGAGGCTGACATCGGCACACTCTGTACCCTCAATCCTGTGAAAGAGCCAGGACAAAAGCAGTTAGCACATAAAACCACATACTATGTGAAATAGAGGCCAGGCAACTGCCTTGCAGCTGTTGTATAGTATTGTCATGGGTATTTCTCATTTGGCATTGTGCAAGTGACACCCAATTGTGAAGGTCACTTCAAAAAAATATTCTTCCTACTAATTGTTCCCGTTGCTATGTAACTGTCAATAGGAAACAGCCCAAAGGCTCAGTAAGAGTAATTAGTGGGTCAGTCAGTGAAGAACAGCAGATAAGAGGAATAAACTTTATCCTCAGCTTTCTTAAATCAGTGTCCTTAGAGAGTGAGACCCTCACAGGAATGTGACTTACTGGAATTTGTCTGGATGACTGAGATGGTGGTTTATAATGTCTGCCTGGATGCTGTGAGTGTGTGGTAGAGAGGGGAAGGTGTACCTGCAGGAAGGGAGGTGCAGTCTGCAGAGGATTTTAGTCTTGTCCCTCTTTCCTCCATCCCTACATCCTGCAAAGCCAAAGGAGCTCACTGATTGGCTGTTTCCTGCCTTTCTCCCTTCTGTACTGTCACAGGCAGCCCTGGGCTGCAATGATTATACCTGTGAGCCAGTTCCCTACCAAGAAGGAAAGGAGGGAGGTCCTAGAATAAAAGCTAGGAGTCATCTGAGGTTTGGGAATATTTTCTGAGACTGGAGCCCAGTTCTCTGAAATTCTAGCCAGGGATTTTTATGATCCTATCATTTTTCTAAATGTTCTCTGTCATATTTTGTAAAATTTACTTGTTCAGTTTCACTCACTCATTCTTTGTTTGATGAATGGCTTCCATGTGCTAGCATTGTGATAAACATGGGGTTTATGGTCTTGCCTTCCATGCAACACATCTCTTCATTGCCTTCTTGTGCTCAATACCATTCCCCAACTAGCTTTTCCCTCTGCTCATTTCCATCTCGGTAGATGGGACCCACATTTATAAGGTTGCTCAGTTAAAAACTGGGATATCATTCTTCATGTACCTCTGTCCCTCACATCCCACATCAAACCTGATAGAGCCATGAGAATTCTCCCTTGAAACTAATCACAATCTAACCCCCTTCTCTTCCCCTTTAATTTCAACATCACTGAGCCAGCATAGACAGCTCTCTCTTTCTCTCTCTCCCTCTCCAGTGCTGAATATCAAACTTGGAGCCTTGTACATGCCAGGTAAGTGCTTTAGCACTGATCCACATCCCCAGCTTGGCAGTGGTCTCTTCACTGGCCTACTGGCTCCCAGGTTTCCTCAGATCTACTTTTCATAGCCAGGAAGTTTTTTAAAATGGCAAAGAAGGTAATGATTTTTAATTAATTAAAACACTTCAAAGGCAGTCTGCTGTAGTTAGAACAGAATCCACAATCATGTCACTTCATCTCTCCTCATCGTTCTGGTCTACTCATCCACCTCTTGTTCACAGTACTTCCCAGACAGTACTAATTAAAACATTTCTACTCCAGCCCCTTCTCCATTTCTTTAAAAGAGTTTTAAAAAAAATCTTAATGTAAAATATATACATAATCTAACATTTACAATTTTTATGTGTACAGTTCAGTGGCATTAAATATGTTCATATTGTTATAGACTCATAACATTTATCTTCAGAACTTTTATAGCTTTCCAGACTCAAACTCAATGTCAATAAGCAACAACTCTGTTTTTCCCCCCTACTCCAGTCCCTGGAATCCACCATTTCACATTCTCTATGAATTTGATGCTGCATAGAAGTAGAAGCACATGATATTTGCCTTACAATTGGTTTATTTCACTTAATGTCTTCAAATTTTAGCTATGCTATAGCTTGTATCAGAATTTCCTTCCTCTTTAAGGTTAAATAATATTCAATGGCGTGTAGATCATATTTTATTTATTTTTTCATTCATTGATGGACACTTCACTTGCTTCTGCCTTTTGGCTGTTGTGAATAATGCTGCATGGACGTGGTGTACAAATATGTTTATATCCTTGCTTTCTGTTCCTTTGGGAATACACTAAGAAGTAAAACTGCTTGGTCACATGGTAATTCTAAGCTTAAGTTTCTGAAGAACTGAAATACTTTTTGTTTTTCATAATACTAGTATCTTTTCCTGAAATTCCACATTTATTTACTTATTTATTATCTCTTTTTTTCAGAATTCAAGTTCAATGAGAGTATCTGACCTTCTTCACTTTCCTCTGAAGCTCAAGATGGTACCCAGACCATAGCAAGTGTTAAATAAGTGCTTGGGGAAGTAGGCAGGCAAGAAGAAAGGAAGAAAGAAGGCCGAAGAACTGTCTTCATGAATATGCTACCATGTCTCCAGTCTTTTCTATGTGTTCTTAGTTGTGGCTGCATCCATCATAGCTTCCTCAGGGAGGGTTGCCTGTCTGATGTTATTTAAAGGCAAATAATACCATTCAAATTCCTCACTCTGTCATTCCACCATGAAATGTGCCTATGGCTGCTGTCTTATTAAGTCTTTAATTACTTAACCTTGCATACCCTGAGATTTCCTTTGAGGTGGTAAAGGCCAACCATAAATAAGATTCAGAATGAGCAGAGTGTGGGTTAGACACCAGCACAGAAGAAAGGAGGAAAAGAAAAGAGGGGAAATATTGAGGTACATGGAATAACATCTGCTTACTTCATCATTCTGCCACTTACTAGTTTTAGGAACTAATGGAAAGAGTCTATCTTTAACTTAATGTTTGAATTTTTCAAAATAATTGGTTTTATTTCATTTAAAAGGAATTGTTCAGGAGCTGGGGGCATGTTGGCACGATGAGGCCCTGGATTTGATCTCCAACACAAGGGAGAAAGAGAAAGAAAGAAAAGAAAAGAAGAAAAAGAAAAGATTTAAAAGGAGTTGGGAAAACTAGGAATACAAGGAAAGTACCTCAACATTATAAAAGCTGTATATGACAAACCTACAGCCAGCATTAGACTTAACGGAGAAAAACTGAAACCATTCCCTCTAAAATCAAGAACCAGACAAGGATGCCCACTATCTCCACTCCTATTCAACATAGTACTGGAATTCATAGCCAGAGCAATTAGGCAAGAAGAAGGAATAAAAGGAATACAAATAGGTAAAGAAACTGTCAAAATATCCCTATTTGCAGATGACGTGATCCTATACCTTAAAGACCCAAAAAACTATACTCAGAAGCTTCTAGACATCATCAATAGCTATAGCAAGGTAGCAGGATATAAAATCAACATAGAAAAATCATTAGAATGTCTATACACTAACAATGAGCAAACGGAAAAAGAATGTATGAAAACAATTCCATTTACAATAGCCTCAAAAAAAATCAAATACCTAGATGTAAACCTAACAAAAGATGTGAAAGACCTCTACAAGGAAAACTATACACTTCTGAAGAAAGAGATTGAGGAAGACTATAGAAAGTGGAGAGATCTCCCATGCTCATGGATTGGTAGAATCAACATAGTAAAAATGTCTATACTCCCAAAAGTAATCTACATGTTTAATGCAATTCCCATCAAAATTCCAATGACATTCATTAAAGAGATTGAAAAATCTACCGTGAAATCTATATGGAAACACAAGAGGCCACGAATAGCCAAGGCAATACTCAGTCAAAAGAACAATGCTGGAGGCATCACGATACCTGATTTCAAACTATATTACAAAGCAATAACAATAAAAACAGCATGGTACTGGCACAAAAACAGACATGAAGACCAGTGGAACAGAATAGAGGACCCAGATATGAAGCCACACAATTATAACCAACTTGTCTTTGACAAAGGTGCTAAAAATATACGACGGAGAAAAAGCAGCCTCTTCAACAAAACTGCTGGGAAAACTGTTTAGCAGTCTGCAAAAAACTGAAACTAGATCCATGTATATCACCCTATACCAAGATTAACTCAAAATGGATCAAGGATCTTAATATCAGACCACAAACTCTAAAGTTGATACAGGAAAGAGTAGGAAATACTCTGTAATTAGTAGGTATAGGTAAGAACTTTCTCAACAAAACCCCAGCAGCACAGCAACTAAGAGATAGTATAGATAAATGGGACCTCATAAAACTAAAAAGCTTCTGTTCATCAAAAGAAATGGTCTCTAAACTGAAGAGAACACCCACAGAGTGGGAGAAAATACTTGCCAGCTACATATCAGACAAAGGACTGATAATCAGAATATATAGGGAACTTAAAAAACTAAATTCTCCCAAAACTAATGAACCAATAAAGAAATGGGCACGTGAACTAAACAGAACTTTCTCAAAAGAAGAAATTCAAATGGCCAAAAAACACATGAAAAAATGCTCACCATCTCTAGCAATAAAGGAAATGCAAATTAAAACCACACTAAGATTCCACCTCACCCCTGTTATAACAGCCATCATTAGCAACACCACCACCAACAGGTGTTGTCGAGGATTCAGGGAAAAAGGAACCCTCTTACACTGTTGGTGGGAATGTAAACTAGTACAACCACTCTGGAAAAAAATTTGGAGGCTACTTAAAAAGCTAAACATGGATCTACCATTTGATCCAGCAATACCACTCTTGGGGATATACCCAAAAGACTGTGACACAGGTTACTCCAGAGGCACCTGCACACCCACATTTATTGCGGCACTATTCACAATAGCCAAGTTATGGAAACAGCCAAGATGCCCCACCACTGACGAATGGATTAAGAAAATGTGGTATCTATACACAATGAAATTTTATGCAGCCATGAAGAAGAACGAAATGTTATCATCCACTGGTAAATGGATGGAATTGGAGAACATCATTCTGAGTGAGGTTAGCCTGGCCCAAAAGACCAAAAATCGTATGTTCTCCCTCATATGTGGACATTAGATCAAGGGCAAACACAACAAGTGGATTGGACTTTGATCACACGATAAAAGCGAGAGCACACAAGGGAGGGGTGAGGATAGGTAAGACACCTAAAAAATTAGCTAGCATTTGTTGCCCTTAACACAGAGAAACTAAAGCAGATACCTTAAAAGCAACTGAGGCCAATGGGAAAAGGGGACCAGGAACTAGAGAAAAGGTTAG